GTGCTCCATAGACTTACCTTGTGTCTCTCCTCGTCTCCCAACCGAACATCTGAACTGCGCATGCGCCCGACCCAAGATCCTTTGCGGCCACCCAAGACTTCAGATGTTCAGACGGGAGCGTGCGGCGGAGACACAGGTAAGTAAAAATTTGTTTGAAAAGTTTTTTGTTTTAAAAAAAAGTTTTTGCATATATCTACTGCATGCTAGCATTAGATATATGCAAGAACACGCTGAGGGTTTAATAACCCTTTAAGGCTTTAACCCTTTGTTAGGACAGACAGTGTTCACATCTAGTTTACAACTGATAATGAGATCTGCCAGTGCAGTTCAGACAGGGTTAATTAAAGTAAACATAATGTCACACAGATACCTCTTTAACATCATAGGGGGGAAGCTAGGTAGGATTTTAAAAAGCACTTAAAATCTAAGCAGCAATTTGTTTCAAAATTGTTTTATTTTTTTTCATTTATGCACTGTGAATGGTAACATGTAACAAATCTAAAGTAGGTGTCATGCTAATTTGGCTACAAGAAAATGTATTTCTACTTTTGCAGTCAAATTTGAAAACCCCACTATGTTTATGTGTTCCCATTCACACAGCATACCTACAAATAAATGTAAACATTACTTCTTACCTTTTTAAATGTTTATTTGGAGGAGGCCTTTGGGCAGACTGCAAGCTACTAAAATTTGTGAGTCTGACCCCCATTACAAATGGCCCCCCATTTGTGAAAGGGGCAGACTCACAAATTTTGCAAGACTGCATTTTCTCTAACATACAAGGTTTCTAGGTCTTTAACCCTTTGTTAGGACAAACGGTGCTCAAATCTAGTTTACAACTGTTCATGACCTCTGCCAGCACAGTACAAACAGGGCTAATTCTGATAAACCTTAACCCCAAGCGCCTCCTCTCAGTTACAGAGAATGGAAAAACTTCAGTTTTAGAGTTTTCAGAAAAGAGCAAGTAAAATGGTAAGAAACACATTTTATGCTATGTGAATGGGAACATGTAACAAATATAAAATGGGTGTTATCACAATTTGGCTGCAAAGTGGATTTACACTTTAATGAGCACTTGCAAAGCTTTTGGAGAATGAAAGGATATGTACTGTGCAAGTATCTCGACTGCACAATCTGCTTATCTGCCACTAATGCTGCCCACCTTCATCACTGCCCAGTGTCTGCTCACCTCCATCCTCTGGCTACTATGTCAACCTTTTCTCAATACTTAAATTAGATGTATATTGATACGAAGTTGAAGCTGTTTTAGTTTGAATTAGAAAAAAAAAGGGTACAGATCCCTTACCTTATTATATTACACTAATATAGCTCCCTGGTAGTTGTGAAAGCAAGCTGTTCTTGCAGCAGCTTGACATAGACTAGTGTGGCTAAACCCAGCTCCTCATAACAGCAAACCTTCACAGAAAAATGTACAAGCTGAGCCTTAACCCAGCCCATGTTTGCAGTTTGAAGGTTTGTTTCAGTCACCCCTCAACATTTGGTGAATCATCTGTGTGATTTCCTGCAAATCATGTTTTTCATAGGTATGATTGATACCCCATGAAAAACTAAATGCATCTTACATCAGCCCCATAAAGAAAAGGTGTGAATGTTTTAATAAGCTCTGCTGGTATAGTACAAACGGAGTTAATTATTGTAACCTCCCTTTTGGCTGGCAGCTGAGGCAAAGGCCTTGGTGGACCTTGATTGCTGCTTGAACGGGCTGGATCCTAGTGTCCTTGTCTATGGACCTGGCTCCCTTTCTCTTCTTTTTTCTGCAGATTTCTGTTCCCTCTCCCTCCCTTTTTTTTTGCATGTCCTTTTCTGTCCTTGAGCATTTCTGCAATTTCTCGTTTCCTCTTCACTTCTCCTTTTCTCTAGCAGTTTTTCTCTTAGAGGGTTTCCTTGGTCTCCATAGACTGCCCTTCATAAGGCTGCCATATATCTGAGGAGGAGCAAGGAGAAACAGACTGAGGAGATGGTTGAGTCCTCAACCTTTTACTCAGTTCGCAATACTGTATGTTAACTGTCTGGGTGGTATAGATATACACAGATCAGTCATAAGATTATGACCACCCACCTAATGAGTAGATTCCCATTTTACTACCAAAACAGCCCTGACCGATTGAAGCATGGACTCCACTAGAACTCCTGTAAATTGTGAGGTGGGGCCTTCATGGATCGGACTTGTTTTTCCAGATGCTTGATTGGATTGAGATCTGGGTAAATTGGAGGCCAAATCAACAGCTCAAAATCAATGTGTTCCTTAAACCATTTTTGTAGTGTGGCAGGGTGCATTATGCTGCTGAAAGATGCTACTGCTTTCAGGGAATACGTTTTCAATGAAGGGGTGTACTTGGTCAGCAACAATGTTTAGGTAGGTGGTACGTGTCAAAGTAACATCCACTTGAATGGCAGGACCCAAGGTTTCACAGCAGAACATTGCCCAAAGCATCACACTGCCTCTGTCGGCTTGCCTTTTTCCCCTAGTGCATCCTAAAGCCATCTCTTCCCCCAGGTAAGTGGCACACACGCACCTGGCCAACCATATGATGTAAAATAAAATGTATTAATCAAACCAGGCCACCTTCTTCCATTTCTCTGTAGTCCCGTTCTCATGCTCACTTGCCCATTGTAGGCACTTTTGCCAGTAAACACGGGTCAGCATGGGCACCCTGACCTGTCTGCAGCTATGCACACTCATGCACAATAAACTGTGATGCTTTGACATTTCCTTAAATGTGAGATTTAAACATGCGTGTTTGGGCAGTGAGTGGTGACTTTGTGAGGAATACAGAGCTTGTTTTGTGTACACTGTGCATGTGTAGGCAATGTGTTCTCAAGACTACCCTGTCTCACACATCTGCAGAATTGCTTTGCCTTCTTAAGAGGACGTTCACACAGATTGAACATTCACAGAGATTCGCAGGGCGAATGGCTCTGTGATTTGTTTATAAATAGGCCTGCTTTTGCAGTTAAATTTGAGAAAACTTCACTATATATTTGTATTCCTATTCACACTGCCTCCCTAAAAATATATGTAAAATATTTCTTCCCGCTAAGGTTCCATTCACACTTGCAGGAATGCACGTGCAAAACACAAAAAATACACATTTTAATGTACCCTGTTCACACCTACGCATCATATGCACTGAACAAAAATGTGCATTGCACAAAAAAGTACAAGTGCGATATTCTGAGCGACTGCCGCACATTCCTTCTATAGTAGTAGCTGCAGACGTGTGGAATCTGAGCATATGTTAAAATGCGCATGGTTTTTTTCTGTGCAAAAAACCATGCTGAAATCAAAACGTGATGTGTGAACGGAGCCTTAGGGACAAACAAAGCTTCCTCTTATGAATATACAATGGGGGGGAATTTAATCAAAACTGCAGCAGTCTGAATCTGTATCGGCTTCTTTCGTCAGTTCAGTTAAGATTTGAAAATGAAACGGAAGCTGATTGGCTGCCATGCACAGCTGCTCCAGATTTTGTCTGCTCCAGTTTTGATAAATTCCCCTCAGTGCTTTTAAAGTGACATTAAAGGATTTTTTACCCCTCTCCGCAATGTTAGTGTAAGGACTTACCTTACAGGCCACCTTCTTCCATTTCTCTGTAGTCCCGTTCTCATGCTCACTTGCCCATTGTAGGCACTTTTGCCAGTAAACACGGGTCAGCATGGGCACCCTGACCTGTCTGCAGCTATGCACACTCATGCACAATAAACTGTGATGCGTTGTGTGTTCAAACACCATTCTATCAGAACCAGCATTAACTTTTGTTTAGCGATTTGAGCTACAGTAGTTCTTTATTGCCTCAAACTAAATGGGCCAGCCTTCGTTCCCCAAGTGCATCAAGTGAGCCCTGAACACCCATGACCAATATCAAGTGAAAACTAGAACCTAGTATGCAGCAGGATTACATCACTAGTAAATGATCTAGCGGGCTTCTTTTTTTTTCCAAACTGTTTACCAGAGTAGTCTCCATATAAACGTTTTATTATTTACTTTTGTCATGTGATCTCATCTGTTTGCTTATTTCCTTGCTTCTTGGTGATGTAGTAGGTTCTTTTAGGCCAGGTGCACCAAAACGTGAGGCCTGTTTTTTGTACACTTCATGTTGTCATCAGGACAAAGTAAAAAGCCTGTTTAATGTAAGGCCACAACTCTTGGAGCCAAAAGCATTTGCTGGCAATTTCTGTCAGTTTCTAAAAAAAAACATGAAAGCCTCTAGGTTTCAGCTTGCAGTATGTGTCTTGATGAAAGCTCTTCAAATATTGTTTTAAAGTGGCAGCTGAGTCTGAAAATAGCCTAATTACCGCAGTGTTACTTGGATTTTCAGAATAGCTTTACATTTTTTAAAATAGATGTTTACATATGATGATTTTATCAAACGGAGAAGGATTCAGGCAGAGTAAAGTGGTTTGTATAACATTTTTCATGAACCCGCTGTACATGGGTGTCAAGAGCCAACCCCTATGTGTTTTGAGCCAGATGCTGGCCATTAGTGATGTGCAGGGGCTTGGCGTGAACGAAGTTTGCCTGGGTTCATCCAAGCCCATGTACAACTGTCAATGACGCACCCCCCCTTGGTCCAATCAGTTGCAGCAGGGGCATTACCTGCACTTTTGTGATGTGGTGCTGAGGCGGAAGGGAATACTACTAATACTACAGGCCTGACATCTTAATGTTGTGTATAGTCACTATTACAGAAACTAATACAATTATTTTATGAATTTCCCACACTTATATAGTGTACTTAACATATTCTAATGTGCACATGTACAAAGATAAACAGAGTTAAGTGTTCTGCATTACATCAATGTTCCTAATTACATGTAATAAATAAATGCATCATATATAAATATATGTTTTTCCTTTTTACAGCTTGAAACTTTCTGTAGATCAGTTATAAGAACACGTCTCCACATTTTCTTGAGTGTGTTCTTCCTTGTGACTAAAGGCATTTATCTTACTAAATTTATTGTCCCTTATTCTACAGGCCAAGACTGCAAGCACAAAGAAAATTTGCCCAATCCCAGCCAAACAGTCCGAGCACAACCCCTATTAAAATTGTGGAGCCATCGCTACCCCCACCAGTTACTCAGATATCCGACCTCTCCAAACGCAAGCCCAAGACTGAGGATTTCCTCACATTTCTGTGTCTTCGAGGTAAAGGTTTTAAACTGTTTTTTTTTGCCTTGTATACTAAAATAACATTACTGTTGACAATTATGTCTTTCTGTCCCAGATAAGGAAAATGCAGTTTGAGAAGAGATAGAAAATGCATATGCAAAGGTTATCTTAATTGAAAACTACATGCCAAATTCAAAGTTACAGGCAACTGATACTTTATGCAGGTCTCGGCTTCTACTGTAAAGCTGGCCATGCACTTGCCATTTTTTCTCGTTAAGCCTTGCAGCTTGAATGAAAGAAAACGCCCTTCTGGGCTACTGTTTTCTGATAGGTGGCACCCACAGCTCTCAAAATAATGGAGCAGTGACTGCAGCTGATTGCCAGTTTTCAGCCCAGCTCCTTTAACAATTTGTCAGTTGAAAAATCGACTTTTGTCTAACAAAATGGCTACTCTGAACATAGATCATTACAAACTGTACAACAAACGTCTTAATATTTTAACACTCACTGATGACACTGATTATGTCCGGCTGATGTGTCACATGTATAGCCAGCACACTCTAAAGACTAAAGTTTCCCTTTTTAATATTATCTACATCTGCAACCCAATAAACAAGATAAATGATATTGATATAAGCGCACAGTGCCATTCAATCCAGCTTTTTCTGCATTTTGTAGACATAATCTGACATTTGAATTGACCTCTCTGTATTTGTCTTTAGAAATAATGATTTCAGATCTCCTTTTGTCATAGAAAATAATGGTTTTGTAATTGGAGACATATCACTGTGTTTATAGGACCTTACCAATCATTGACCAGCATGTGCTTTTTTTTTTTTCACTTAAACATATGCAAGCAAAGTTTGGCCAGAATAATTTACTGTAGGAGAGATCCCACTGAATCTGCAGGCAGTAAAAACCATGTGGCCATTCTGCACATTGTTTATATGATATGCCCGTGTCACATTAAGGTGATTGATACCTTTCTAAGAGGCAACACATGCTTACGCCTAAATAAAGGCAGATATATTTGAAATGTCTGGAAGTTATAAATTCTTGTGATTTACAACAAGTGATATAAACTTAAATAAACTCAAGTTGTTACCAGCCCTGAAATTACACACTACAAATGCTGCTAGTAAGATTATACTTGCCTAGTTTGTTCTTTGATTTAGTTATTCTCTTGGCACAATTTCAAAGTTAAATATATGATTATACTTACATATACATTTGTATTTTGGTATGTTTAAAGTATTTCTAAAGTAATAACTAATGCATAATAATCCTAGAAGTCATTACACACTCACTAAGTCACTTACTTTACAATTATACAAAATTGATGGAAATACATTTTTTTTATGGCTTTTATTGGTGGTTATGTGGTCCTTCTGTACTCTCTGGAAGTCTGTGGTAAACTGCTCTGTAAATTGTAGGTTTTTCCCATAATGTACAAGCATAAACAGCATATTTACACATTATGGTACATGTACCTTACAAGGCTGCCCTTTTCCAGCACTGTTGGATCCATCTTCAGTCCTCCACTCTGTTCTCCTCCACTGCTGTCACTTCTGGGTCCCATGGGAATCCTCTTCGCCATTGGATGGCCACTGATGTAACTCCATGCACACAAGCTGCTGTTCGTCATGGTGGAGATGGCTGTGCTATGTGATGACACACGTTAACTAGAAAACTGCATATTCACCATGCTTTTGCACTTGCAGGATCACCAAGTATTCTGGCAACTTTAGCAGAAGAAAAAGGCTCACAAAATGTTTTTAAATCGTAAAAGGATTCGATTTCTTTGCATTTAGATACACGTTAAATAAAGGTTCACTCTGGTGACTGAAGCTTATGGTAATAAATAATCAAGCACTGAGATGTGTTGTGCACATGCGCTGCAGTGCATGGTTACAACACACACCCATGTTATGTACCATAACGCACTTTCAGTGATGCACATGTACATTATGTGTGTGTGCGGCAGGGTAAGGGTTAAAGGGATAAAACATGGGAAAATGTGCTTGTATTACAGAGATATACTGCTTGTTTTTTTGTTTTTTTTATTTTGCCTTGAGAAAAATTTTAAAGGCCAAGTTTATCTTTCTGACCTCGTTTCATTTGACACCCATATTTAGGGTGTAACATGATCAGGTCACAGCCACCACCCTCCACCCTCTCTGTTTACCTGAATTGCAGGGGTTTTTCTCCGCGCAGATTGCGGCTGTTTGAATTTGGTGTGGCTATACGTCGCTCCGCCTCCACAGAATGGTGCCATCCATTCACAGAACCTTTATCAGGAGACTTGTAGTTCTAAATGGAATACAAATACAATAATGTCCACTGAGATTTTCTCCCACCATGTTACTGAATGTCTGTACTAGGGATGCACCGATACCTGTTTGCCGGTATCGGGTAGGAGTACCGATATTTTGCTTTCGGTACTCACAGATACCGAGTACCAATACTGGTGCTACTGCTGGCATGGAGCCGGCTTCCCGAGCATTCTGATTGCCCGAGAAGTTGGCTCCATGTTGCTTAGGCAGCTTGATTATGCTTGGCTGGGAAACCGGTTTCCCAGCCAATCAGGAAGCTGGGCAGCGAGTAATGACCCACCACCCAACTTCCTGATTGGATGGGAAGCCGGCTCCATACTGATTGGCTGGGAAGCCCGGCTTCCTAGACAATCAGCAAGGAGTCGGCTGTTCAGCTGGCTTGATGCTGATTGGCCCGGGAAGCTGGCTTCCAGGCCAATCAGCATGGAGCCGATTTACTGGTCAATCAGAAACCGGGAGGCGGGTCATTACTCGCCACCCAGCTTCCTGACCACACGGGAAGCTGGCTCCATGCTCCTCTACGGCATTGCCGGTCAAATGAAATCTTCCCCTGACTGGAAGTTCCGGTATCAGGGAAGGTATCGGAGCATTTGGGCAAGTACCAGTACTCGCCCAAATACTCGGTATTGGCACAGATACTAGTATCGATATCAGTGCATCTCTAGTCTGTACTGAGGTACGGACATGGGTGGAAAGGAGAGTCTGCATATATATTGCAAGGCTATATAGTCCGGTCATGCTGACTGGTGAAATTTTTGACTGACTGGTGAGACACCGCCAAATTTTTCAAGCCCTGTATATATATATCTCCCCCCCTCTCTCGCTCTCTCCCCCTCTTGCTCTCTCCCCCCACCCCTCTTTTTCCATTAATGGATTTTTGAAACTGAGGATTGTGTGTGGTGCTTTGTGTACCTGTGACCTACTAGTCTAAAGATTCAGCTCTGGATATGGATTCTGCCTGCACTCTTTTTGCTCGAAGTTTCTCTGCAGACTTCTATGAGTGCATTTTCTTTTGTCACACAAAGTAGCCCAGTGGGCCTAAATGAGGAAATACCTGGTATATGGGGTAGACAGCATTGTAGGGCAGGATTACACCACTTTACATACCTCATGCTCTTACAAAACATTTTTATCAATCTACTTTAAGCAGATTAGGTTAGTATTATTCTCATTCTTGAGTTATTCCCTCCTATAGTGAACACATTGTGCAGACATAATGCTATACGTGCATCAGAATGAAGTAGTAGTGGGTGCAGCTGACAGGATTTTCTACGTCTTTTCAGTCCTAGAAAAGCCTTCTTTTCTACAACTTTTATGGATGTTGTTACTAGTAGTGACCAAGAGCTTTGTGGGATATTAGTAGACTTTGATTCACTTTTTTTTTTTTTTTTTTTACTAAAAATCTTTTACGTCGCAAAAATTTTTTG